ACTTTGTGAACAAAAAAAAAAAAAAAAAAGGAACTGAACAGGGCAGCAAAACTTGATGGGGTGGGGAGGCTGAGTCACCTCCCCTGGAATTTCCTCACGCCCCCCTGTTTGGGAACCCATGCACTAGAGGGAAGAAACCCTTGGATTGCATTCCTCATGATTACCTAACATGGATGACGTGGTGGTTTCTTGGATTGTGGCAGTTACTGTAAAACGAAATCAGGAAAGAGATCTTGGAGTTATCGTGGACAGTTCTCTGAAAACTTCCACACAGAGTGCAGCGGCGGTCAAAAAGGCAAATAGGATGCTAGGAATTATTAGGAAAGGGATAGAAAATAAGACCCAGAATATCTTACTGCCCCTGTATAAAACTATGGTACGCCCACATCTTGAATACTGTGTACAGATGTGGTCTCCTCACCTCAAAAAAGATATTTTGGCCTTGGAAAGGGTTCAGAAAAGGGCAACTAAAATGATTAGGGATTTGGAACGGGTCCCATATGAGGAGAGGCTAAAGAGACTGGGACTTTTCAGTTTAGAAAAAAGGAGACTGAGGGGGGATATGATAGAGGTCTATAAAATCATGAGTGGTGTGGAGAGGGCTGATAAAGAAATTATAGTCCTAGCCTTCACAGCCTCCTCTGGCAAGGAGTTCCACAGGTTGACTACACACTGTGTGAAGAAGAACTTTCTTTTATTAGTTTTAAACCTGCTACCCAAAGGTTTTCTTCACTCAGCACACAGTCAACCTGTGGAACTCCTTGCCAGAGGAGGCTGTGAAGGCTAGGACTATAATAGAGTTTAAAGAGAAGCTAGATAATTTAATGGAGGTTAGGTCCATAAAAGGCTATTAGCCAGGGGATAACATGGTGTCCTTGGCCTCTGTTTGTCAGAGGCTGGAGAGGGATGGCAGGAGACAAATCGCTTGATTATTGTCTTCGGTCCACCCTCTCTGGGGCACCTGGTGGTGGCCACTGTCGGTAGACAGGATACTGGGCTAGATGCACCTTTGGTCTGACCCAGTACGGCTGTTCTTTATGTTATGTTATGTTATGTTTTATGTTATGTTTTATGTTAAGAAGAAATAGATCTTTAAATGCAAGCTCGACTGACAGCCTGCTAAATGTATATGGACATGAGGCCCGACCCTAACTCAGAGAACTGCCATGAACATTTTAACTTCCTGGCAAATGGAAGATGTGTTCTTGTCCATTTGTTGTGGTCATGTCCCAAGTATTAACATGCGCATTGAATGTTTCCATGTTAGGATAAGATCTATTCATTGAAAGAGGTAGAGGCACTAGAGGGAAGAAACCCTTGGATTGTCAGCACCATTTGTTCAAGCAACAGCAGCAGCAACTTGGTAGATCTCAAAGGGCCATAGCCTCCTTGCGTAACTTTGTCATCCCCAATGACAAGTTGCTCAGTAATAGTCTTTTTCCTTTGGCATTTCAGCTGTGCCTCATGGATGGAAACATCAGGTATTTTACTCCCCACACCTGTTCCTTCTTCTTCCTTGATGCAGATGTGGAAGCTAAAGACATGACAGCTGTGGAGATCTGCTCTGATTAGTGCATAGGTGAATTACTCATGGGAGCTTTAAAGATCCCAACCCCCTCGGGAGTGTGATGTCCTTGCTCATTTAGTGCATGTTGAAATGATATTTACTCTAAGTTACCACAGATGATGTGGAGATGAAATAAGGGATCACCCGGTGTTGTGCTGAATCTCTACAGTTACATCACAGTCGGTATCATTTATCAGGAATTACTAAGACTTTCAAGCACTTTTTAAAACCATCACATTTAACCACACTATGAAACAAGAATAGAATACCAACGATTTAAATATTTTGGAGGTTTTCTGCTTTTTACAATGTGCAGGAATTAATTCTGCCCATTTCCTGATTACAAAGTCACCTATACGTGAGAACAGAGATTTGCACGGCACTGTTGCATGATGAGTACGTGCCAGATGTGCTAGATAATCATGCTTCAACCACCATTCCTGAAAACGTGCTTCCATGCTGCTGACAGGTTCTGCTCAATAATGATGCCAAGCAGAGTGGACCAACGCGGGTTCATTTTCATCATCTGAGCTAGATGCCACCAGCAGAAGGTTGACTTCATATTTGGTGGGTTGGGTTCTGGAATTTCTGCCGTGGGGTGTTGCTCTTTGAAGACTTCTGAAAGCATGCTCCACACTTCTTAGATTTTGGGGAGCACTTCAGATTCTCAAACTTTGGGTCAACCACTGTAGCTTTAAGAAATTTCATATTGGACCTTCTTTGCATTTTCTCAGATCTGCAGTGAAATTGTTCTTAAATTGAATAGCATTGGAGACCACAGTAATATAAAATATTTGGTCAAATGTGGGGGAAACAGAACAGGAGACATGCACTTCACCCCCAAGGAGTTCAGTCACAAATTTAATGTACCCTTTTTTTCTATCTTCAGCACAGAAACATGTCCTCTGGAATGGTGGTCGATGCATGAAGGGACATATGAATGCACATCTGGCATGTAAATACATTGCAACCTCAGCTACAAAAGTGACATGAAGCTTGCTCTCACTTTCAGGTGACATTGTAAATAAGAACTACACAGCATTCTCTCCCTTAACGGGAAATAAACTTGCTTCTCGTAGTGACTATGATTCCTAGCAGTGTTATGTTCCTGGGAAATTAGGGCATGGTGTCCAACCTGCCTGACTCATGAAAGATCTCCTCCCAGTTTCTAGTTGAACCAAAAGCTGATCAGCAGAAAGATTTACAAAAAGCAATGAAAAGGTAGGGGAAGACACACGTAACACCTGCCCCCCGGAAACACCCCTCGCCTCATCTACATCAAAGGTGGGACAGCAAGGCACCTCCATTGGTGTACGGAATGGAGAACAGCAATTCCAAGGAAAGAACCACACTGAACTCTGGGACACAGAGAACAGGAAAACGTGGCCTGATGGGAAATCTTTGCTTCAGATGCTAATGAACTCGCACCGGGACCCATCTCAAGCAGTAATTATCAGGTCAATTCTAGTAATAAATCCTCTATAGGTATGCAAAATATTGGAACTGCCTAATTGCATAAGGAGTGTCTCCAGACTAAGCTAAATAACTTTGAAATATTCCCTCAAATCATCAGTTTACCAATAAACGAATCTAGAGTTCCTTCTCAAACCATTGTTGTTTCCTTACTCACACTCAGCAACAGTATTCTGATGCCTAGATCAAGTTCTGGATCATTTCCATTGGGACTTCATCATCTCTTCACTGACCATGCTGGAAGCTCTGCTCTACTGTTTCCAACAGTTTGTATCCCCAGTTACCATCACCACCCAGGAACCCCAATCCGTTCAAGTTTCATGGAGTGGTGAGATCTCCATCTCTCTTTCTCTTCCCCTGCCTTCTGTCTTTGGGGGCATTGTTTTTGGCTTCCCCATTCGTTTTGCAGCAATACTCTCTGTACCTAAGCTAAAGAACCCTGCAGAGTCAAAAAATCCTGTGAGATTTGCTTTAAGAGGCAGGTACCTAGCTAAGTGTGTAGTCAATACAATTTGTATCTGGGTAGTGATGGTAGTTGGGAGTACAAATTAGTTAATAAGAGAAGCTACTCAGTCCTGGCTCACACTGGATCCAGGAGCTACCCCTGCTGTGGCTCTCCAGTTTAATTGTAGTAAGGGCAGCGGGGGAGGGGGCGGAGGGAAATGCAAGTAGCCGACTACTTGCTTACATCCCTAATTTGTTCATCAAGTGAGTTTCTAGCACAATGGTTGTGGTGTGAAAGTGGGGCTAGGGGCGTGCTGAACCTGGGGACATATGACAGTGGCAGTTTAAAGTGCTATTTAACTGAGTTCAAGGGCACCTGAGGGTCATAGCGTGGCATTGTTGTGCAATCAGCCTACTGAGTCCAGGGACATATAAGGGGTCAGCTTGTGAGTGCAGATTAATAGTTCCCTCTGATGTGCTCCTCATGCAATAAGGAGTACCAGTTAATTCAAGGGAAGGGATTTAAATCGGACTACCATGTATACATGCAGCAAGTTACATCGGGCGACCGGCATTTTAAAATGGCGACCAACCGCAAATATGCTAATCAAGCACGGGATATTTAAATCCTGTGCTTGATTTGCAACTTCGGTATGCTTCATTTGCCTCTCTACTTCGAAGTATGGGGCAAGTGTAGACATACCCTAAGTGTGTTCATCTGATTCTAGGGTAGAAAGATCCTAGCCCTGGAGAACCTAGCCTTAGGAGAGAAATGGCAGAAGGGAGAAGTAGCGGTCCATAGAAGTGACACTAACAGCACATTGATAGAATTATAGAACCCCACTCCTCAGAATAGTAACCCTAATAAATGAATAAACCCCAAAGTAAAGGGCAAATCTGGTAACAATTGGTGGAACAAGAAGTAGGACTGAGTGGACTTAAAGGCTCTATGGTTTTACATTGTTTTGTCATTGAATTCAGTTATGTAACAAAAAAAGATCTACATTTGAAAGTTACACATTCGTGATGAAGTGATTGCACCCCTGTACTTGCATAAGATAAACTGAAAGATATTATTTCTATTGATTATCATTTTTAAAGTGCAAATATTTATAATAAAAATAATAATATAAAATGAGCATTCTACATTTCATATACTCTGTTGTAATATAAATCAATATATTAAAACTGTATAAAAATACTGAACAAATATCAATTGGTTTTCTATTATTTAACAGTGCTATTAATTGTAATTATTTGTAAATCACAATTAACTTTTTTGATTTAATGTACAAGTTAACTATGATTAATCAACATCAACAGCCCTAGTAATAATTATTTTTATAGCAGTTATTTGTGCCTGGTGTTCTTAAGCCTGATTTATCACTTCCCAGTCCCAGTCTTTCTACTTACGTGGTGTAGTTGTAGAAGCTGCATGAAAAAAACAAAACATAAATAACCCCCAAATATTCATATCAGTGGAACAGTAGAACATCTATGGACATCAGTTCTGATCATTACTTGGACAAATAGCTCATGGGAGTTTTAACTTTCTAGCAACTGGGAGATGTGTAATGTCCTTGCCCCTTTGTAATGCTTAGACTCCAAAAGATAACAAGTAAATAAACTGTAATTAGGTGTTACATATTTAGCTAAAACCTCAGGAGGCAGCCGCAGGAAAACCACCAGGGACTTTCAAACCAAGAGTGAAATTCACCAGATTACAGAGGGGTGGACAATACTCAGCCGGAGGGCTGAAAATGGTTCATCAGGTTTAGCCATTGCCAGGTCTCCGGACACTTTGTTCACCTGAATGTCTGAAAGTACAGCCATTCACAGGTCCCAGTGGCCATGGATCACCATTCTTGGCTAATGAGAGCTGTGAAAAGCAGTACAAGCAATACATTTGACTACATTTTGTGTCTAATCTTGCCAGTGATTTCCCCAATAGAGTCAGGCAATTCTTTGCATGTGTATCCCCCTGCAATGAGAGGACTCAATGCTTCTTTTAAACAATTTTTGTAAACTGATAAAATTTCAGATTGATAGCTTCCTTTTGATATCATCAGCTGCTCTGCTGGGTCTTCACAATTGAATCTTCAGTATAATTTATTATTTACAACTATTTTCTAGAGCAAAATATTTTTATGATGATTTTAAGCTTCATATTTATCATTCAGCTCCAATTCTCCTGCTTACCTGTCGTAGTTATGCTGGAGGATACCTGAGTAGAGGTAGCTGATGTAAAAAAAGAAACAAATCTTTGAAATGCAAGCCAGATTATGACAGCCTAGTAAATATAAATTGACATTAGGCCTCACCCTAACTCAGAGAACACCCATGACTGGCAAATAGCTCAGGTTGTGTTCTTGCCCATTTTTATACGGTAGTATGGTCCCAAATATTAACATGAACATTAAATGTTGCCACACTAGGATAAGATCGGTTTATTGAACCACTGGGGGTTATGAGAAGAAACAACCGCCCTGGGATTGTCAGTGTCATGTGCTCATGGCAGACCCTGAAGGCCCATAACCTCTTTGTAGATCATTGTCACACCTCACTGATCAGCTGATCAGTAATAATTGTTCTTCAGCACTGCAGCTGTGCCTGATGCTTTGAAGCATCAGGTATTTCACTCCCCACTCCTATTCCTTCTGCTTCCCTGATGCAGCTGTGGAAGTTGAAGCAGAACCTCCTGCCAAAGACTAAATACATGAGTGGTGGAGATCAGCTGTCACTAATGCATAGGTGAATCACTCATAGGAGTTTTAAATTTCCCAAACTCTGGGCAGCGTGAGTTGTCCTTGCCTATTTAGTGTATATATGGAACAGTTGTGAACAACTAAAATCAATGTAACCCCCAGCTTGAAATTATATTTATTCTAAAGTACCAGAGATGCTGTGAGAATGAAATACGGGATCATTCCCATCATGGGTGAAATTCACCGCCCACTGTGTTGACGCTCCATAGTTACATTGGGTTCGGCTCCAAAATGATCTAAACCAGAGTGGACCAAACTTCTCATCTGAGTTAGAGGACACCAGCAGAAGGTTGATTTTGGAGGTTTGGGTTCTGCAGTTTCTGCATTGGAATGTTGCTTTTTTTAAGACTTCTGAAAGCATTCTCCACACCTCGTCCCTATCTGATTTTGGATAGCATTTCAAATTCTTAACTTTTTGGTTAGGAATTGTAACTATTGGTTAGAAATTTCACATTAGTACCTTCTTTGCATTTTCTCAAACCTACAGTACAAGTGGTCTTACAAAGAACAAATGCTAAATCATCTTATGAGACTGCAAGAACATGAAATATTTGGCAAAATGCTGTAAAATAGAACAGAAGACGTGCAGTTCACCATAAAAAAAGTTCAGTCAAATTTAATACATGCTTTTTTTCTTAACGATCATCATCCGCATAGAAGCGCATCTTCTTGAATAGTGGCCAAAGTATGAAGGGACATATGAAAGTTTAGCACATCTGGTATGTAAATATGTTGCAACCTCAGCTACAAATTGAAATGCGAATGTCTGTTCTCACTTTTAGGTGACATTATAAATAAGAAGCAGGCAGCATTATCTCCCACAAATGGAAACAAACTTCTCAGACTAGTGATTCATTGATCAAGAAATAGGACTGAGTGGATTTGTAGGCTTGAATGTTTTCTATTGTCTTCTCATTGAATACAATTATGTAACAAAGAAAATCTACATTTGTAAGTTACACTTTCATGGTAAAGTGATTGCATTACAGTGTTTGCAAATGGTAAAGTGAAAAAGACTATTTCTTTTGTTTTTCCAGTGCCAATATTTGTAAGAAAAATAAAATAAAGTGAGCAGTGTATACTTTGTATTCTGTGTTGTAATACAAATCAATATATTTGAAAATGTAGAAAAACATGCAAAAATTTGAACACGTTTCAGTTGGTTTTCTGTTGCTTAACAGTGATATATATTGCAATTCATTTCTTTGATCACAAATAATTTTTAAGCCTTTGATTTATCACTTTGCTGTTGCATTCCTTCTACTTACCTGTACTTGTGGAAACAGCTAGAGAAAAACAAAAGAAAACAAATATCCACATCACTAGAACAGCCTTGTAAATGTAGAACATCTATGGACATCAGCTCTGATCATTACTTGGGCAAATAGCTCATGGAAATTCTAACTTCGTAGCAAACTGGGAAAGACATGATGTCCTTGACACTTTTCCTTTAATATTATCAGCTACTCTCTTGGGGCTTATCTATTATTTATAACTATTTTCTACAGAAAATATTTTTGATGGTAATTTTAAGCTTCACTTATATCAACCAGTTCCATTCTTCCCACTTACCAGTCATATTAGATTAAGCCAATATAAAAGAAGAAACAAATCTTTAAGTGCCTCACTATGGCCGCCTAGTAAATATCTATTTACATTAGGCCTGACTCTAACTCAGAGAACCACTGTGAATGTTTTATGTTCTTTGCAAATAGAAGATGTGTTCTTGTCCATTTGTTACGGTAATGTCCCAAATATTAACATGCACATGGAATATTACTACATTAGGATAAGATCAATTTATTACAAACACTAGGGGGAAACAAAACCTTGGATTGTCAGCACCATGTGTTCAAGCAACAGAAGCAGTGACTTGGCAGAACTCAAAGGGCCGTAGCCTCCTGGTAGAGCATGGTCACGTTCCACAATTAGCTGCTTAGTAATAATGATTTTTCTTCAGCACCGCAACTGTGTCTGATGGATGGAAGCATCAGGTATTTCACTCCCCACTCTTATTCCTTCTGCTTCCCTGATTCAGCTGTGGAAGCTGCAGCAGAACCTCCTACCAAAAAGCTAAATACATGGCAGTAGAGGAGATCTCTGCATAGGTGAATCACTCATGGGAGTTTACATTTCCCAACCCCTGTGTAGTTTGATGTCCTTGCCCATTTAGGGTAGGTCTACACAGCAGTGGTATTTCAGAATAACTGACGTTATTCTGAAATAACATAGTGCACGTCTACACTACAAGCAGTTATTTCAATATAATGTCAAAATAATGTTGAGATGGAAGACTTCTTACTCTGACTCCTGTAACCCTCTTTTTACAAGGAGTAGGGGAAGTTGGAAGAAGAGTGCTCTTTCTTCCTTGGACTTCCTGCTGTGTAGACAGTGCCAAAACCTGAAATAAGCTATTTTGACTTAAGCTACGCAATTGACATAGTTCAAGTTGCATGGCTTATTTTGGCTTTAGCCCTGCTGTGTAGATGTGCCCTTAGTGTGTGTATGGAACAGATGTGAACATCTAAGGGTACATCTGCAGTGCAATGCTATTGCGGAATACCGGAGTATCCCAAAATAGCTATCCTGTGTCTTCATAGTAAGCCTATTATTTTGGGCTCATGGTTCCAATGTCCCTATAAACCTCATTCTACGAGGAGTAAGGAATGTTTTAAAATAGAGCTTTATTTCGAAGTTTGGTGCTGTGGAGACGGCACCAAATGATGAAATAAGCTATTTTGAAATAGCATCGAAATAAGATATGCATTTTGTGTAGCTCAAACTGTGTATCTTATTTTGAGTTAAGGTGCAGTGTAGACACACCCTAAAATAAATAGTGGTAGAGATGTAGCCGTGTTAGTCTGGGGTAGCTGAAGCAAAATGCAGGACAATGTAGCACTTTAAAGACTAACAAGATGGTTTATTAGATGATGAGCTTTCGTGGGCCAGACCCACTTCCTCAGATCAAATAATGGAAGAAAACAGTCACAACCATATATACCAAAGGATACAATTTAAAAAAATGAACACACATGAAAAGGACAAATCACATTACAGAACAGAAGGGGGATGTGGGGGGGGGGGGGGGAAGGAAGGTGAATGCCAGTGAGTTAATGATATTAGAGGTGGGGAAGGGGAAATGTCTGTGAGTTAATAGTATTAGAGGTGATAATTGGGGAAGCTATCTTTGTAATGTGTAAGATAGTTGGGGTCTTTGTTAAGTCCGGTGCGGAGGGTGTCGAATTTCATTCATGCTAAAATTCAACACCCTCCACACCGGACTTAACAAAGACCCCAACTATCTTACACATTACAAAGATAGCTTCCCCAATTATCACCTCTAATACTATTAACTCACAGACATTTCCCCTTCCCCACCTCTAATATCATTAACTCACTGGCATTCACCTTCCTTCCCCCCCCCACACATCCCCCTTCTGTTCTGTAATGTGATTTGTCCTTTTCATGTGTGTTCATTTTTTTAAATTGTATCCTTTGGTATATATGGTTGTGACTGTTTTCTTCCATTATTTGATCTGAGGAAGTGGGTCTGGCCCACGAAAGCTCATCATCTAATAAACCATCTTGTTAGTCTTTAACGTGCTACATTGTCCTGCATTTTGCTCCTAAAATAAATGTAACTCCAGGTTGAAATGATATTTACTCTAAAATACCAGAGATGACATGGGAATGAAATAAAGGATCATTCACATCAGGTGTGAAATTCACCCCGCCCTGAGCTGACTCACCACCATTACATCACGGTCACTATCAGTTATTAGGCATTAGTAGGGCTTTCAAGCCATTTAAAAAAGTCACATTATGCCTTTTTTGCATTTTACCAGATCTGCAGTGAAATTGTTCTTAAATTAAACAACATCTATTAAAGAAATCTATGGCAAAATGTGGGTAAAACTGAACAGGAGACATGCATTTCACCCCCAAGGAGTTCTGTCACAAATTTAATTTTCATATATTTTCTTTAATGACAATCATCAACATGGAAGTATGCCCTCTGGAATGGTGGCCAAACTATGAAGGGGCATATGAATGTTTAGCACATCTGGAATGCAAATACATTGCAACTCCAGTTACAAAGGGACATGCAAATGCCTGTTCTGAATTTCAGATGACATTGTAAATAAGAAGCAGGCAGCATTATTTCCCATAAATGGAAACAAACTTGTTTGTCATAGTGATTGAGTTACTTAGAAGCATTATGTTCTTGGGGAACCAGGGCATAATATCCACCCTATTTGATTCATGAAAGACCTCATTTTTCGACAGCAGTTATTTTTGCCTGCTGTTTTTAAGCCTTGATGTATTACTTCGCTGTTCCATTCCTTCTGCTTACTTATTGCAGTTGTGGAAACTGCAGGAGAAAAACAAATAAAACAAATATCCAAATTAGGCCTGATTTTAACTCAGAGAACTATCATGAATGTTTTAAGTTCCTTGCAAATAGAAGATGTTGTGTTCTTGTCAATTTGTTACAGTAATGTCCCAAATATTAACATACAAATGGAATGTTCTCGTATTAGGATAAGATCTATTTATTGAAACCACTAGGTGGCACTGGGGCTGGAGGGGGAACAAACCCTCGGATTATCCATTCCAGGAGGCAAGTTTTTTTTTAAAAAAAAGAGTAAACAAATCTTAAAATGCAACCCTTACTCCAGCAATCTGATAAATGTATATTGAGAGAGGAACAGATTCTGCCCAGATTGAAGCTCAAGACAAAACTTGTATAAGAACCAGCCTTTCTTTTGCAATTATAAAAGTCAATGTGTTTCCTTAACATTACCTGTAAATTACATATTAACATACATTATAAAAAACATATTCTGTTTTCCACTGAAATTGAGGGGGTATGTCTACACTACCCTCCTAGTTCGAACTAGGAGGGTAGTGTAGACATACCCTTGGAGTGATAGCAATAGGATGAAATTTAATAGTGAGAAGTGTAAGGTTATGCATTTAGGGATTTATAATAAGAATTTTAGTTATAAGCTGGGGACACATCAGTTGGAAGTAACGGAAGAGGAGAAGGACCCCGGAGTCCTGGTTGATCACAGGATGGCTATGAGCCACCATTGTGACATGGCCGTGAAAAAGGCTAATACGGTCTTGGGATGCATTAGACGAGGTATTTCCAGTAGGGATAAGGAGGTGTTAGTGCCGTTATAAAAGGCATTGTTGAGACCTCATTTGGAATACTGTGTGCTGTTCTGGTCTCCCATTTTTAAGAAGGATGAATTCAAACTAGAACAGGTACAAAGAAGGGCCACTAGGATGATCCGAGGAATGGAAAACCTGCCTTATGACTATGGGTATGTCTACACTACCCCGCTAGTTCGAACTAGCGGGGTAGTGTAGACATACCCAGGATGATAACATAAACTCCAACATAAACTCTAACAATGTAATCTCTATTGCAACGGACTGGTAAAAATATACTGACTTGAGTCTCCCAGACAGCAAAATTCTCCTGGACTGCAGTAGGATCAGGCCTATTGTAAATTTCATTTAAAGAATGCTCCTACTCTGAAAAGTGACTAATGAGCAAGAGTGGATCCTGTTTTTTGATTGGACAGTGAAACATGAAACACCTAAAGTGGTAGTTCCTGTTGGAAGTCTGCAGTATGCTCCTATTGCATGGAACAAAACCTGACTAGTTTTATCTATGCAGCTCCACCTTGTGTGTGCCAATAAGCCTTAAACAAGATCAACCTTATTGTTTTTCAGACCCACAGGTGAGTTTTCAGCACTGAGTTGGGAATGGGAGTTTTCCATTGTAAAGAGAACACATTTGGTAAGGAGCCACTCAATTACAGTAAACATGGTACGCTGTTAATGTGATTAGTACAGTCATGTACTAATTTTACTACAGTACTTCAGCCTTTTTAAGTATCCTCCTTCACTGCTGAATATGAAAAATGAGGTATTTTGTGGTCTAAAAAAGGAAAATAAGCATTAATGAACATGTTGGTAAATATATTATATTGACATGGGTCCAGATTCGGATTTAAGTTAAACAGATTCTGGTAAAAACTGTATTCCATTAGTCACAGTAGCATCCACGGAATGAAGTTACACACTTTCACTTGGATGTTCTAATTTCAAACCCACGCCCATAAGTCACCAATGAAAGAGTAATAGCTCTGGAAGGGACCTCGAGAGGTCATCAAGTTCAGTCCCCTGTACTCATGGCAGGACCAAGCACCATCTAGATCAGTGGTCCCCAACCTTTTCGGGTTGTCGGGCGCCAGGGGGCGTGGCCGTTCGCCCGCCAGGCGCCAGGGGGTGGGGACACATGCCCGCCCGGGGGCGGCTCCCCCCAGCCGCATGCCCGGGGGCGGGACCCCCCCCATAGCCACGCGCCCAGGGCCGGCGCCCCCCGGACCGGCGCTCCCCCCGTAAGCACGCACACCCGGGGGCGGGGCCAAGGCCGGGGCCGGCGCCGGGGCCAGGGCATGTGCGGCGCACCTGGGTTGGGGACCACGGATCTAGATCATCCCGACAAGCGCGCGCCTAATTTGCTCCTAAAAATCCCCAATGACGGAGATTCCACAACCTCCCTAGGCAATTTATTCCGGTGCATAACCACCCTGACAGTTAGGAAGAAAGCAAGTGTGGGGTCCCATCTGGGGCAGGGCAGACTACGATGCATTTCAGTATCCCTGCTTCAACAAATCGCAGGACTTGCATTCTTTTAGAAGCTGAGCACTTCCTAGCAGGGGTTGCAGACTAGAAATGAAACCAGTTTGCAGCTTCTGGGGACAAGCCACCCAGTGGTGAGGGGTCTGGGCCATAGGCAAGACCCCCTGGGAAGGGAGGAGAGGGCCTGCTCCTTCCCCGTCCCCAATCTTTGCCTGAACACTGGGAAGTAGTGGGGATATGCTCTGTTGAGAGACCAAGCTTCTGGGAGCAGCTGGGAACTCCCATTGGAAAGAAAGGAGGCTGAGACACCACACCATGAACTGAAGAGAGAGCATGGAGGTCAGAAGTGGTTTGGCAGGGGCGGGGGGAGAACTGGTCAGGTGCACCAGGAAGATGTGACCGAGACATTCCATGTCTCTCCCTCTTGGGCCTGGGTCTCCCTGCTTTCCCCTCCCCTGAGAGAGCATCAGGGAATTGTTGAGCCATGATTGGCCCATTAGGTCTGTTGGCCTCTGAGTGAAACCTGCTTAACATAGGTTTTGTTCACTAGCCAGGAACAGATTTGATTTGAGATTTGCTGGCTTCATTCCCGAAGAACACATGTTTTGCATTGTCTACAGGATTCGTTTGGCTATTTGTGAACCTCAGCCGGAAGGATGGCCATCCCCCCGTCTTAGATCAGCACCAGCTACTGCAGACAAAGAGCAGGGCAGTATTTCCATTATAACCCTTCTTGACACTCCGCAAAGGTGGATGAGGCTTGACTTATTTAAAGGTAAATTTAAGGCTCAAGGACAGTGCCAAAGGTGGCACTCCCCGGAGGCTGGGAATCACATATTTATCCACAGAACTGGATTAAAACAAACTGCTTCCCACTGCCTGGCCTGCATGCTTTCTTGTGGAAAAGGGGGAGAATTATTCAGGTTTGCTACAAACTCTGTGAAGAGAGTGAAGCCTAGAACAAGAAGGCCAGACATATCGGCCCTGCTGAGGCTCCTTTAGCCACTTTGCTGGGTGCTACGGATACCTAGGTAGGTGTGAGTGCTCTGTGGTCTCTGGAATATTGCAGTCAGGTGACCCCAGCTGTGGCTGGACCTCGTTGGGGAGTTGATTGCAGGTGACCTGAGCAAAGGTGGCAGCAGGATATATTAGTGCTCCAGTCTCCCTGGACTGAGCCTGCCCATTAAGGAAAACAAGCGAGCCAAGTGGAAGGGACAGGTGTTCCAAGCTGGGGAGCTTCCAGTACAGGGACAAAGGACAGGGCAAGTAGGACCCAAGGCATAGAACAAAGAAGGCTTCTGCCTCCTGTGTCTTCACTAGGGCTCTGTGTGGTGCATGACCTGTGAAAAGTTTGACTGTGTGTGTTGTGGGTGAGCAGGACTTAACAGACATATTAGCCCGGACCCAACACCTACTTATGCCCTGAAAGATCCCATGGTGAGACAGAATGAAGCAGGGCTTGGTATGTCCACATGTCCTCAGTACTGGGGTGAATTTCACTCACAAGGGCATAGGCTCTGACACTGGGAATACCATGGGGCTGGAACACCCACAGGTGGCCCCATTGATAAGCGCCAGCCCCTCCCTGTCAGCACATATGCCCACCACGGATCAGCTGTTCAGCGGCATGCAGGAGGTGCAGGGAGAAGGGGGCAGGAGAGGGAGGAGCAAGGGTGGGGTGTGCTTAGGGGAGGAGGTGGGATGGGACAGGTGTGGAGCAATGATGAGGAAAGGCAGGACAGAGCAAGTGCAGGAAAATCACAGTGGGGTGAGGGCAGGGCTGGAGGCAGAGCAGCCCTGGCAACTTTGCCTGGGGTATTGCAGCCCTCAAACCAACCCCAAAGGATTTTCTTTGAAAAGTGAAAGGTTTGGGAAGAAGCCCAGCAGTTCCTTTGTCTCCAAGTTTAATCTAGACCCAGGTCATTCGACTATGAGGTATTCATGTTCGTTCAGGGCTTACTGGAAATAATTAGAGCTAGGTGGTATTATTATGCAACACTTTACATCAGCAGATCCCCAAGCATTTACACTGGCTTTGGGAGACATACTGTGCCCCAGTGACTGGTTTAACTAATGTATTGGGGGAAGGCAAAACCATAAATACCGAGTTTACCTTTCCCCCTTACCTCATATGGCTCAATAGCATTAAGGACCTCCCCCCCCCACACACATACAGGTGGCTTCCCTCCAAGTCCCTGCTAATTCCCACCCACCACCCTTTTCTGAATGTACTCTTGCATTAAAAAAATAATCAGGAAGCAAGGAGTTAAGGCTGATCTTCTGTCTCATTATTGTCCCATGAGTACCTCATGATTATCATTATCTCTTATCAATGCTCATTTGAAATAAAGTGAGTTAAACATTGACTCACATTTCTTTTTGAATATTCCTGGCTTTTGTTGGTTTGATACTTGATTATAGTTAATCCTGGGTACCTTGGATACCAGATACATATTGCTGGCCCTTTTAATTGTGTATCCAATTCCATGCCTTCAAACTCCATGGCAAAACTCCCATTGCTTTCAATGAGACAGGATCAAATCATAGTGAGAGTCAACTGGTGTCAAACTGTTTTTTCTTTCAAGGACTAAGTCCTTTGTTTTAGCAAAACATGCCTACAGCTTTCCATTCTCTGGGAGCTGAAGTAGAATAGTTACTCATTTACTGATGAAAATAACCTTGCTTTTTATGTTTTTTAATAAAGGCTTAGTCACCATGCTCCAATACATAGGTCAAGCAAACAGATTTCAGTTTTATGCACTAAATTAATTTAATCACAGCCATGTTTTTGTTTGGGTCTGTGAATGGGTAAAACTCGCTATCAGTTAAATTTTTCCACCCTTTCATTAATCAGAAACTAAAAGCGCTGAAATGTAACCATTCTTCTGCAGAATATTTCATTCTTTTAGGAAGCACCTTAGTAACTGTGCCACTGAGAATATGTTATCTATTCCCTCGGGTAGATCACTTGGGTTGTTGTTTAAAAGTCCCAGAACAGAAGATAGAGTTTCTTACCTGTCTTGGCACAGAAACCAATGCTGAGCAGAAGGACGAGAGATACGTAGCCTTTCATTTTTGAGGTAGCTCTCAGCTAATCCTGTGCGGCAGTGGTGTCTTTCCTAATGACTGCTCATTTAACATTGAGCTAACAGGTACAGAGTTCAACCTCTAATTGACGTCAGAATTGCAAATGGCAGCAAATGGATTATGTTAATTTGTTTTAGTTTCCGCCTCAGACTTTGATACAGAATGATGCTAGCTTGCTTAATACCAACAATAAACTTGCTGGAAAATGATGGCACTTTAAGCCTCAGCGCAAAATTGCATTAGTCGTATAAGCAAACGATTCTTTCCATATGCTTAGTGGGATTCAAATTCTAGGCCAAGACTTTCACTTCAGTACAGAAAAGTAAAAGGTAACAGGAAACAGCTGGAAACCACAGAAACGGGAGTTGGATTAAGCCCAAACAACGCAGATTTGTGAAATAAACACGATCTCCTCAACTCCTGGCAAGACAAGTGTCAACACAACCAACTGTCAACATAATCAACTGTGAGGTCAATTATAAGCTCTTCTCTACTGTTTAAAGTTTGGAAGTTGCTCTGCTTGGCCTGTAACCCTTCTGTCAGGGCTGGGTTTGATCTGTCTAGAAGGCCTTTCCTAAAAATAAACAAAGCTAAGGCTTGAGGGATGAATCAGAGCCATAGCTGTAGTACTTGCTCTGGGGAATGAAAATCTGGTGTCCATGGCCTCCATTGCAAATGCCTCTTCTCTATCCACAAACACTTGTGGGTTTGTCTCCATTTACTGGGAGATCGACGCTGTGAAGATCCATCTCCAGGGGTTCGATTTAGCGGGTCTAGTAAGGACCTGTTAAATTGATTGCTGATTGCGCTCTGTTGACTCTGGCACTCTATTGGGTTGCAAGGAGTAAGAAAGAGAGTTTCTCCCATCAACTTCCCACAGTGGGGACACCACAGAAATTTGACCTAAGTTTTGTGGACTCCAGCTACACTACTGACGTAACTGAAGTTGCATATTTTAAGTCAACTTCCTCCCCTAGTGTAGACCTGGCCTCAGGTTTCTTTGGGAACATGGAACCACAAGGGTCTTTTTATTTGGGAAAAAGGGCACAAGCAGTCACTATATTCATGACAACTTGCTTTATATTTACATAAAAGAAACAGAGCCATCCAAATCAGTGCACTAGGAGTTTGGTCACCCCACAGTTCTACAAATTGTCCAGAACTCTCAGCCCCACCCCAGCCACCTAAACCCCATTCCTGAATCTGTTTTGTGACAATCAAAGGGCACCAAGGAGAGACTCACCTTCCCCTCTGCTCCAGTCCAGAGAACCACTCTGCCAGGTCCTGTTCCAGTGGGCATCTACCTGGTCCATCTGTGTGATATCAGCCCTGCTTCCACCAGACTAGTGGCCTGAGGCACTGTGAAATCAACTCATCATTGCCACTGTCTGTCTGGATGCTGCGAGTACATCTCTGTGCCATGGTTTTTACTGCAAAGTCAGCTCTGCACCAGCACCATCTGACTGGCTGAGCCTCACTGCTGCTGCCACCACAGTCCAGTTTCGCCTGGGGTCATGAATGGCTAAATCCCACAGCTTCACTGTGGAGAGGCTGATGAATCTCCCAGTAGGCAAACAAGGACCATGGCTCCCAAACTTTAGGACAAAAGGCCTCCCCCTTGATAAGCTTGAGTTTCATTATCAAGCCTTAGTCCACTTTCTATGACAGGGGTCTCAAACTCACGGCCCACGGACCATGTATGGCCTAAGCATTTCCACAATCCGGCCTGCGCGTAGCTGTTGGCACATAAGTCCCTGAGGCCCAGGGTGTGCATGTATATGCTTCCTCCAAGTCCAGCACCTGCCCCACTTTTGCCCTGCCTCTTCCCACCCCTGCTCTGCCCTCTCCCCATCCATTGCACCGCTTCCCTCAAATCCTCTCCCCTGAGGGATGTGGCCTGGGAGATGGCAATGGATGGAACATAGCAGGCTACACCATTCTGCTTCCCTGCAGGCCTATCCAGGAGCCCAGGAGCTAACTTGAGTATGGGAGGCTGTCCCATCCGTAGGCCGGTTGGGGTAGCTGCTACAGGGTGCCCCAAAGCACAAGGCCCGGGGTGGCTGCCCCAAACCATCCTGTGGATGGGACAACTCTGCACACAACTCTCAGGCCGCAGGGAAGTGCCAGGAATTAGCCCACACACCCATTTTCATAGCATGGTTATCTTGCTAATCCAAGAGGCCGATGCTGGGAAGGAGCAGACAAACACAGCTTGATTCGCTGTTTATCTTGGGTTGTACCTATGTTTTACTTTCCACCAAACCAAGAGATGCCTGTATTCCTGGATCAAACATGATGAGTGGAAGGGAAGGAGCATGTGAATCTTTTCAAAGTTTTGAATGTTAGATGGACAGTTCCTCCTCACACAGACTTCTTGTTTTTAGCCTGATCCAGAAATGCAGAAACACAAGTGTTCATACTGTTTATGGCAGCGTGCAAAATCCATTCCCCTTTCCAGATGAATTAGTGGAGTGGGAATCTACCTGCCAGCTCTCTCCTGATCGATTTTTCTTACACCTTTTCATAAAGCTCTCTTTTAGACAGCACCATTTATATGCCTCAGTGCTGGCATCATCACTCAGTGCTGGGAATCATTCTTCCTGTTGTGTCCTCAGATCCTGAGCCATATGGAGGCTCCAGGCTTCCAAGTCCGGCTCCCTGAGTACTAAGCAAAGCTGGAATTCTAGGGAGACCTTCTCTCTGCTGTAGAGTGATTGGAGAGGTCAAGGAGGCTCTGAGTAAGCAGAGCACCTGAATCAGCAGAGCTTGGAGCAGGTCTCTGTGGCTTACTGATAGTCAACCACGGAGATTAACTCTAAAATAGAGCTGTCAGCAGAGTGAAAGTCTGGTACTCCTCCTCCAGACAATAGGGCTGTGTCTAAATTAGCAAGATTTTGCGCAAAAACTTGCCGCCTGTCTACACTGGCCGCGAGTTCTTGCGCAAGAACACTGACGTTCTAACTTAAGAAATCAGTGCTGCTTGTGCAAGAACTATGATGCTCCCGCTCAGGGATAAGCCCTCTTGCGCAAGTGTTCTTGCGCAAGAGGCCAGCGTAGACAGGCAACATGAATTTCTTGTGCAAGAAAGCCTGATGGCTAAAATGGCCATCGGCGCTTTCTTGCACAAGAGAGTGTCTACACTGGCACGGATGCTTTTGCGCAAAAGCACATGCCAGTGTAGACGCTCTCTTGTGCAAATTCTTTAACGCAAAAACTCTTGCGTTAAAAGTATTTGCACAAAATCTTGCCAATATAGATGTAGCCTAGGTGTCCAGATATCTGATAAAAAGGCCACCCCAACCATCCTGGTAACAAAGTGATCCCCTTCAGATGTATCTTCATCCTAATCACTCCCTTTTTCCCCCCGGAAACATCTCTACTGGAGATGACTGATGCAGTGGACTCCTCTAGAGAAGGTGTGTGGGAAGAGCTGGTTCTTTGGAGGCCCAGTTCAAAGGATGAAGTTCAACTGCATGTTCCCCCCACCAACCTACACACACCTTCACAGCATATGTGTCCCCCGGCCATAGTCCAATGCTGCACAACACCTTGGAAAATCAAGCCATTTGCCTCTTTAACTAGATCACTTCTGACCACTCGGTGTGCATTTGTTCCTAGCAATGTGTATGAAAAACCTTTACTCACCAGGCTCTGGAGGGCACTCAGAAGAGGGGTTAATCTTAAGGGATTATTTTTATCACTGTTTCCCCACCCCAGTGTAGAATGCTTCTGGCATTTCCTAGTTCACCAAAGAGATCTCAGACTGCATTTCACAAATACCATCCAATGCAATGAGACGTCTGGTATTTGACACAATACAACCTTTGAAACAGGACGCAGGGCACCCAAGAGGACTGCACAGTAGGGCCGTGTCCAGACTCAGGGGTTTTTTCGGGAAAAGTAGCCTTTTCCCGAAAAAACTTCCCCTGCGTCCAGACTCAAGCCGCGTTCTTTCAAAATTATTTCGAAAGAACGCGGCTTTTCTTTCGATGGCGGTAAACCTCGTTTCACGAGGAAGAACGCCTTCCTTCGAAAGTTCCTCTTTCGAAGGAAGGCGTTCTTCAATGTAAAGAGGCCGTCTTCGAAAGAGAGCATCCAGACTCGCTGGGTGCTCTCTTTCGAAAAAGCGGATTTTTCTTTCGAAAGATCCGCCTGCAGTCTAGACGCGATCTTTCGAAAGATGCTCTTTCGAAAGATGCTTTCGAAAGAGCATCTTTTGAAAGAAGCCTGCAGTCTAGACATAGCCTAGGAAGATTATGAACAACTGAGCGCAGATCCTTAGTGGCATAAATTGGTGTAACTTTGCTGGCTGTACAAACGCATAGCAGCTGAATATCTGGCCTTGAATACTTTTATAAGGTAAATTACAGTTTATTTCAGTGGTAAATGAATATCAAAGCCTGGAGGGGAGAAGGACATTTAGCACATTATTTTAGACATAAAAGTTAACGTTCATTTAATGCAATCACATCTTGAGGAAGTCTGTTTGTGTACGAATCACTGACTTTTGCTCTATAGAGGTGTCACAGAGCACGTCACTCATCACCCGACTGACACTTTGTCTCTACTATCTACGTATTTCCCTGAGGCCACATCCCCACAGTCATAGCACCCTCCTCAGTCTCAGTAGCCCATCCAGGGCTCCTACTCTTCTCCCCAAGTTCCTGCCTGCATGGCTGTCCAAGGTGTAACAGCCTATTCTAGACACAGTGTTCCTTCCTCAAGTTCTAGGAAGCTACTGACCCTGCTCTGTTCTGAGGTGTCTTTTATATGGGCCTTCTGGATCCTGATGAGTTATGAGGAGCTGAGACTCTCCCATTGGCTGGTTTTCTTGTCACCTCTCTCTGACTCTGGTAATCCCTTACTGGACAGAGTCATATACCTCCCCCTTAAGACAAGTCACTCACCCTACGAGTGTGGGGGTATTAGACTAATAGACTCATAAGACTCAAAAGGAATTTGACAGATCATGTAGTCCAGGCCTCCGCACTCATGGCAGGGACAAGCACCATCTAGTCCATTCTTGAGAGCTGTTGATCTAACCTGCTCTTAAAAATCGCCAATGA